GCGGGACTCGATCCCAGGACCCTGGGATCATGACCTGAGCTGAAGGCAGACGCTTAACGGCTGAGCCACCCAGGCGCCCAAAACTATTTATTTTTTTAAAGATTTTATTTTTTTTTTGCAAGGGAGAGTGAGCACGAGTGAGGGGAGGGGCAGAGGGAGAAGCAGGCTCCCCGCTGAGCAGGGAGCCTGATATGGGGCTCGATTCCAGGACTCTGGGATCATGACCTGAGCTGAAGGCAGATGCTTAACCATCTGAGCCACCCAGGCGCCCCCGAAGAATTATCTTTTAATTAGAAAAACTGGCTTTTGCAAATCCATCTCTAGAAGTTTATCCTAGGAAATGAGTCATGATCGTGTACAAAGTCTTAGTGATGGGTGCACTACAGACTGGTTTAAATAGTAAAATGCTAGAAAATAAGCTAAGCAGCCAAAAAGGTAAGTGATTAAATAACAATGGTTTTTTGTCTAGCTGCTAAAAATTGATTTGCTGAAGTTTATGTGCTGATATAGAAAGATGTTCATAATATACTGTGGAATATGGAGGTTAAAACATGTGGAGGGGGCAGGGAGTTATGTCAAAGATACATACAGAAGAATAAAAAGAGGAGCAAGGTATATGCCAAATATTAACAGTGGTTATTCACTGGATTATGAGACTATGGGGAACTTTTTCTTTTCTTATAGACTACTTACATATTCTTTTAAATCTCAACGGATATGTATTTTTATAAGTAAAAAATGTACGTCTTCCCAGGTATTGTCAATTGGGCAGTAAATGCCATGTAAGAATTATCTACTGGGTCCAAAGCATTGTGGTATAGATTATGAACACAATACAGAGGCTATTTTCAGTTTTTTACCCTTATAATGCTGTAATAACACCTTTATAAGTAAATCTTTCTCCTTATATAACTGTTTCCCTAGGATGGATTTCCAGAAGCAGAGATAGTAGGTTAAGTCTTTGAACATTTTTAAGGCTCCTGACATATAATGGTAAAGTATTTTCTGAAAGGCTTAACAATTTATACGTGTATGGAAAAGTGTTAACAAATATTTTTTCATTATAGTTTCAAGTTTTCCTCTATGTATCTGGTATAGGTCCTTTTCAGGGATAAAACTTACATAATTAAGTAAGAGGGTGCTGAGGAAATAAAAGTACTAAGTACCTTATTATGTCTTTGATAAAGAGAGATTCTAATTTTCATATTTGTGCAGTTCAAATTGGAAATGAGTTTCCCTTAAGTAGTTTCTGTATTTAAATATTATTCTGAGCTCAGAGCATGCACACTATTGAAAATGCAAAAGCTGAATATAGTTTTTATTTGCAACAATTTTTAATATATTTTCTTTCATTTTGCTATGCCTAGATCCTCAAGAAAGCATTCACTGTGAGAGAATCACATAACCATTAGGAAATCTACTTCTTCACATCTTTGACTAAAATTGAAATATCAATGATAGATTCAGTAAAGTATCTTCCCTGTAATTACTGAAAATAATTGCTAATTTACATTTATTTATCTGCTTTGCTCCTTGAAAAGAGGACTCAATTAGTCAGAGAAACACAAATACCATATGATTTCACCGTATGTGGAATTTAAGAAACAAAATAAACAACCCCCCAAAAAATCCAGACAAACCTTAAAACAGACTCTTAACCACAGAGAACAAACTGATGGTTACTAGAGAGGAGGTGGTGGGAGGGGTGTAAGATAGGGAGTGAGGATTAAAGAGTACACTAATCATGATGAGCACTGAGTAATGTATAGAATTGTTAGATCACACCTGAAACTAATATAGTACTGTATGTTAACTATACTAGAATTAAAACGAAAAAGCAGACTCAAGTAAATAAAAAATGTAAAATAATTTAAAAATACACATATGTGAATATGTATATATATGAATTGTTCAAATTCTATATACACTTTGTGAAGACAGGAAGCAATTTAAAATTTTCTTTCAATAAATGAATACAGCACATAAACAAAAAATGCTAATGAAAATTCAAATTCTTGGGGCGCCTGGGTGGCTTAGTCATTAAGCATCTGCCTTTGGCTCAGGTCATGGTCCCAGGGTCCTGGGTTTGAGCCCCGCATCGGGCTCCCTGCTCGGCGGGAAGCCTGCTTCTCCCTCTCTCACTCCCCCTGCTTGTGTTCCCTCTCTCGCTATTTTGTCAAATAAATAAAAATAAAATCTTAAAAAAAAAAAAAGAAAAGAAAATTCTTTTCAGTTAAAAAAAAAGGTACCCATTTTAGATATGCAACTTGAATAAATAATCCTGAGGTCAGACAGGCAGCTATAGGAAACAAAGAGAAACACACAAAAAGAGACTCTATGATGTCTCATTGATGCTAACTATAAATCTGTAAGACATACACTCTAAGCTCAGACTTGTGTATAGGTCAGCTCCTTGGCATATAACATGAGATGTCCTACATGCTAATACTCAAAATATATTTATAAAGAGTGTCAAAAATGATTTTAAAAAGTTGCTTTCACTTGTGACAAATGGAAACTATACCTTTAGCAGGCCTTGTACAAAGAGCCCTGACTCGTATTTAAATGATGATTCTGCATCACATAATCTGGAACATTTTCTCTCTGCTGGAGTCAGAAAAAGGCATAACGTTCTCACTATCTGTAAAAGAAAATATTTTAGCATTAAAATAAACTAAAGGCCACTGGTTTGCTTATGAAAGAAATTTGAATAGAAACTTCAACGACTATTGTCAATAAAGTACATCCTGAGAAGAAAGTATTCCTTAGTCACCTTCAGGAGTCCATGGGACATCACAGTTGTTGCTTAAAATAGGAATTGTGTGGTCAAGTAAGTTTGGGAAATGCTGGTAAACATACTGTATATTTCAAAACCTTTAGTGTTTGAATACATATTGTGACCAGGTGATTGATATGATATGCATACTTTATTCAACATATTTGATCACGGAATCCTTATTTCACGAAGAACTAATGACTTAATTATTGATTGTATCTCCACCCAGGGGCAACTATTTTTCAAATAAGCAAACAATTCTGGACAAGAAAACTAAATGCAGTTAAATTAGGCAGAATTATGGCCTCTGTTGAATAGTGAAATTCCATTATAATGAATATTAGGAGTATCCAAATGCTTCAATAGAATGAGAATTAATTCTATTAAATTTGAGGGGCACCTGGGTGGCTCAGTTGTTAAGCATCTGCCTTTGGCTCAGGTCATGGTCCCGGGGTCCTGGGATCGAGCCCCGCATCGGGCTCCCTGCTCCTCGGGAAGCCTGCTTCTCCCTCTCCCACTCTCCCTGCTTGTGTTCCTTCTCTGGCTGTGTCTCTCTCTGTCAAATAAATGAATAAAATCTTAGGGCGCCTGGGTGGCTCAGCTGGTTGAGCGACTGCCTTCGGCTCAGGTCATGATCCTGGAGTCCCGGGATCGAGTCCCGCATCGGGCTCCCCTGCTCGGCGGGGAGTCTGCTTCTCCCTCTGACCCTCCTCCCTCTCATGCTCTCTGTCTCTCATTCTCTCTGTCTCAAATAAATAAATAAAATCTTTA